GCTTTAAGGTGTTAGTTACCACCTTTAAAGCGCTCCATGGCATCGGACCTGGATATCTCCGAGACCGCCTTCTGCCACAGATTTCCTCTCACAGACCAGTACGCTCCCACAGAGCGGGCCTCCTCAGGGTGCCGTCGGCCAAGCAGTGTCGGCTGGCAACCCCCAGGGGGAGGGCCTTCTCTGTGGGTGCCCCCACCCTATGGAACGAACTACCCCCCGAGATCCGGACGATTCCGGATCTCCTATCTTTTCGCCGCGCCCTCAAGACATGGCTTTTTCAGCAAGTGGGTCTGGCCTAGGGAGAATTTTAAATAGGGACAATTTTAATTAGAATTTTAATGGTAACACAGCGGTAAATATTTGTTTTTAATTGGTTTTTATTGGGGATAGTGTTTGTATCATTTTAATATGCTGTAAGCCGCCCTGAGTCCTGTGGGGAGAAGGGCGGCATATAAGTTTAAAAAATAAAAATAAATAAAAATAAATAAATAAATAAGCTCTTTCTGGCCAAGTCGCTAGCACAGCTTCTCTACGGGACCTTGCTCGGACCCTCAGCTTCGTGTTTTACACTACTGGAAAGAGTTCAATCCAAATTTATCAGAACAATTCTCCAGATGCCACGCTGTCCCAAATGCACTTCTGTGCCTGGAGACAGGATTGATAAAAGTCGAAGAAAGAAGCTGTATAGCTTCCTTAAACATCTGGCTAAGGCTTAATTGCTTTCCGCAAGGCCTTGCTCCATTAATTCTATAAGATAAATTCTCCTCTTCATGGATCAAGGCAGTCGAGTCCAACCTTGTCAAACTAGGCTTCTCATCAGCCTCAATTCTCAAATTGGACTACGACCAAGCAAAACAAACCTTGCGTCAAAGGGTAGAGGACATCGAAAGGCAAGCAGACTTAAGTATAGCTCCGCTCTTTCTGGCTCCAGACTCTATTAGATACGTGGTTACACCTGCCAGGTATCTTAGTCAGTTGGAGTCAGTAAACCACCGGAAAGCATTCTTGTTTGCACGGTGCCATGCATGTCCATCAGCAAGTATAAAGAGACACCACTGTCTGAAAGACTCTGCTCCTGTGGCTCAGGAGAGGTGGAGACCATTGGACACATACTCCTTCGATGTTCCTTCTACAGAGCTATTCGGAAAAACCATATCCTCCCCATAATTGATAGATATCCTGGTCGTTCAGAAAGTATTTATCTCCAGTGGCTGCTTAAGTATGAGCAGGCAGTGATCATGGCGCAGGTGGATAGATTCTGTGCAACAGCATTGGGGATTTGCCAGAAACATAAATAATCATTTTAGATCTTTTTTAATAATCTTTTATAATTAATTTTATTACGTGTTTTATCCAGTTTTAGACTATACTCAATGTATTTTTATTGTCAGGTCAGTATGATTCAGTTTTTCTGAAGCTAGCTAGTTTTTGATATACTGTCTGAAAAACTAGGCAGACCTTGGTCATCCATTGATTACATCATTAATTGTAATATATTGCTATGTCCTCTTGTGATGGTTCTGTTTAGTTTTGTTTTATTTAAATGTTTAATTTAGGTGTTGGCCTTTGGCTGTAATAAATTGATTGAACTTCCATATGTCTTAGAATTACCGTATTTCCCCGAAATTAAGTCCCGGTCTTATTTATTTATTTTTGCCTCCAAAAGAGGCACTCGGTCTTAATTTCGGAGAATGTCTTACCTTAGGACAGACATGTCAAACCCGCGACATCACGTGACGTTGCGCGACGTATCGGAGCTTTTTCTCCATTGCCAGCAATGGGTTGGGTGCTGTTTCCAGGTGACGCATCCGGCCAGTGGGCCAGCAGTTTGACACCCCTGCCTTAGGACCACTGCAGCCAGGCAGTGGAAGCAGCCCGAAGCGCTGCACAAATAGCAGAAGCAGGCCGAAGCACTATGCAAGCAGCGGAAGCAGCCTGAAGTGCACAAGCAGCCCGAAGCTCCATTCAGCATCCTAACGGGAGGAGCAGCAACAGCAAAATGCACCACATGGCGTCTGGCCACAAGTGGCAGTAAGCGGCCGCAGAAGTCAAGTACCAGTGCAACAGGTGTCGGGGTGTGGGACCCCTGGTTGTGGTGGTGCTACCGGTAAGGTAAGCAGGTTCAGGGAGCGTGGGGCACATTCACCCCACCCATCCCTGCCCTAGCTTGATTTTTACGTGTGTGCTTCACCCCAAAAGTAGGGCTTAGTTTTGGTGTATGGCTTATATTAGGCCCACCCCCAAAACTCAAGCTAGAGCTTACTATCAGGCTGGGTCTAACTTTTGGGGAAACAAAGTAAGAATTTAGGAAAGACTGTAGATGGCATATTAACTGTAAATAATCTATTTCATTTGATTATAACATTGCTCAACATTGATTCATTTCGCAGCATGTAAAGCGATATGGAAATATATCCACTTTGTGGGCTGGACCTCACCTTCTAGTAGTGCTGTCTGGATTCAAAACTGTGAAAGAAGGATTGATCAGCTTTCCAGAAGAATTTTCGGACCGACCAGATGATCCTTTATTGGCTCCTTTAGGGAAAGAAAAGGGTAAGTGCAAGTAGTAAGAAATTGTATGTAAATAAGCATCACACTGTTATAATTTGTGGTAATATAATTCATAGCATGGGGGAAGGCTATGATTGATAGGCAAAAGAAAGATTGCTTACTTTGCTTTAGACCAAATTATTATACATCTCCATAGCTTTCTATCTGGTCCGTTACATTCATACGTTGATTTAGACATTACTTCTTTTTCATTAAAAACTTCATAGATATTAAAGCGAGTAGGAAGTGAGCAAATCAGTGCAAGGCTATTCCAAAGGCTTTGCATAGAAAAGCAAAATTTGCATAATTTTATGAATTCATCATCTTTTTTAAAGTTAGTAGTGATCTGGCTTTTGGGCTGTGGACCGCTACTGCTCCATGACCTGTTGGGAACTGGGCCACACAAAAAGCGGGTGAGCAAGTGAAGCTTTATTTGCACATAGGTGAGATCTAGGTTGTGTGTGAAACCATCCGTCCCCCTTGGTGAATGGAAAAATTGTCTTCCACAAAACTGGCCCCTGGTGCCAGAAAGAAAGAAAGAAAGAAAGAGAGAGAGAGAGAGAGAGAGAGAGAGAGAGAGAGAGAGAGAGAGAGAGAGAGAGAGAGAATACAGAGACAGTGAGACAGTGATAGATGATGATAATAGATAGATATATGAGGGCAATTTGGAAATAAACCTCCATTTGGTTATCAATGACAGACACTCACAGATACAGAACTTTTATTATACACATTAGAAAACTACAATGTTACATACTTTTTCGACATAATTGCCATTCAAATTGAGGCACTTGTCATAACATCTTACAAGGTTTGAAATTCCTTATTATTTATTTATTTATTTATTAAATTTATATACCGCCCTATCTCCCTTACGGGACTATTAATAGTCACTCGGTGCCAAATCTGGGCTATGGGGAGGGGTGATCAAAAACATCCCAACGGAACTGCTGCAAAAGTTCTTGGGTGCATCTAGTGGTGTGCTGACAAGCATTATCGTGAACCAACACCACAACGGAAGTCAGCATGCCCCGACACTTGTTATGAATGGCTCGTCTGAGTTTTCGTAGACGTCTGAACGGATGGTCAATCCATGCTCCATGAACTTCACTAGACGTACTCCTTTGGCATCACAGAATACTGTTGCCATAATCTTTCTGGCGGATAGTGTTTGCTTTTGGAGGTTTCCTTGGTGAGTGAGTATGACACCACACCATTGATTGCTGTTTGCTTTCGTGGTTCACATACAACACCCAGGTCTCATTGCTGGTCACAATTCTGTTAAGAAATTGTTCTTCTTCCTCGGCATAATGCGTGAGAAAGTCCAAAGCAGAACCCAGATTTGGTGCTGAGTGACATCATTTCAAACCTTGTAAGACGTTATGACAAGTGCCTAATTTGAATGGCGATCATGTCAAAAAATAATGTAATGTTGTAGTTTTCTAATGTATATAATAAAAGTTCTGTATCTGCGAGTGTCTGTCATTGATAACCAAATGGAGGTTTATTTCCGAATTGCCCTTGTAGATATGCTGTAGTGGTGAATAATTGTACATGTAGCGCTACCTCTTAGAGGCCGCCAATGCCCAGGCCCTCCCAGCCACAACCTCCCCTTGTCCAGCCTTGCGGTAACGTTCTTTAGAGATCGGTGAGATGTCTTACAACCGGAACTCATGCAGCATTGATGGGTGGCAGGCTCTTCTTGTTGAAGCAGGACTTTCAGGCACGAACTTAACCGGTCACAATGGTTGATGCCCCGAAGATGTATATAACAGCTCAGGGCTGCTTTAGCAGCAGGAGTAACAAACCCCTGAGCAATCGTTCAGAGTCCGATGAAATGGGGGGGGGGGTAAACCCCGGCTCCAGATGGTAATAATAACAATGACGGCCAGTATGTTATGGCAATGGCTCATCCCCCAGGGCAACTCCCCCCACAATGTCCCAGCACCTATGCCAGCAGCGATGGCCACAGTCCAGATGCCTCCAAAGTCCACAACAACAGTTGGNTGCTTCTTCTTTAGAATTCCTCCTCAGGTCTCAGGATTCAAAACCACCCCCCTCCCTTACTCTTTATTATTAAAAACCGAGGCTAGAAACCCCAGCCAACTCCCTTTCTCCACACTCTCGCTTGCCTCCGTTTCAGATATCCTCCCACGGAGGAAGCAATAAAACTTCACTCTACCTAGCCTCTATTTAAAATACCCTTAATAGGAAAATAAAATAAGCTTCCAGACCTTCTCTTCTCAACTCCAACCACCCCGGCCTTCTCCTTTCCTTTCCTTTTCTATCCTTCCTCCTTCCACTCACGCCAGCCACACCCCAAGCCAACTGCAGCTGTCCCAATCTTTTCCTTCCCAGTCAAGCTCCTGCCAGCACTCTCAGGCAGTCCCCGCTACATACATATAGATATTCTAAAATTAATATGTTCACTTGCTACAATTCTTATGCCGCTATTCAATTTATATAGACTATCAACAACGTCATAACATTTTCTAACTGATATGTGATTAATTTAAGAAGAATCCAAATTTATAGTGAATTCTAAATTTAAGCATTTAGAATTTTTCACCTATTTGGTATTCTCTCCAGAAATCCAGAGAGGTATTTGGCAACAACTACACCTAACTGTTGTTTTTTTTGTTAACATGAATGTTATCAGGAATCATTTATCATTGTCTGCTGATGCCCACAGGAATAATTTTTTCCAGTGGCCACACCTGGAAACAGCAGAGACACTTTGGCATCACTTCTCTGCGGAAGCTGGGCCTGGGGAAGAAAAGCATTGAGCACCAAATAGAAGACGCAGCTCAGACATTGGTGGACATCTTTAGACAAACAAAAGGTATGCGGTTTGGGGTAATCATAATGGCTCAAGTCCCAAGTTGTCTTCCTTCATCCACTTAGAACTCATGTTCCTTAAAAAATCATTATAAAATATCTTCATTTGCAGAACAGCCATTTGACCCTTCATTTCCTGTACTAAATGCAGTTTCTAATATCACATGTGCTTTGAGTTTTGGACATCCATTTGCTCCTGAAGATGAAAACTTCCAAAAGTTAATTCAAGCCCTTAATTTTCTTTTGAATTTCGCTAGTAACATTTTCCACATGGTAAGTCATGTTTTCTATTAAATAGCTTCCCAAACCAAGAGTTTGAACCTACTATCTGGAGCAACTATTTATATGCCCTGTATAGCCAGTAGAAAATTTGTTAAAATGTTGAGACCCAAGTACTGTGTGATGGGGTGAGTTCCCATTCTTTCATCAGTTCCTGCCTGCCTAGCAGTTTGAAAGTATGCAAATACAAGTAGATAAATAGGTACCACTTCAGTGGGAAGGTAACAGTGTACCATGCACCTCAGCATATAGTCATGCCAGCCACATGACTGGGAAAGCTTCTTTTGACAATATCGGCTGTCTTGGCTACGAGATAGAGATGAACATCACCCTCAGGGTTGAACATGGCTAGACAGTAACCTATGTTACTTTAACTCTGACTTGTATTTTCTGCCCTTTTCATTGTAATGCTGTATATTTTATTTTTAAACACATAAATACAACAAATATATCACATTGTAAGTTGAGAGTGAAGTGTTGAGAATCTTCTGTAACTCTGGTAGGATATAAATAGATAACATTACCTCTTCTGTTTTTTATTAGATTTATCATGAGTTCCCACAATTAATGAACTACCTCCCAGGCCCTCACCAGAAAGCCCTGGCTTCTAGGGACCTTATCCTTTCCTTTGCAAAGCAGGAAATAGAGAAACACAAGGAATTTCATGCTCTGCACGAGCCACAAGATTTCATTGATTACTATCTTCTTCAGATGGAGAAGGTATGGATTTACTGTACTTCAATATATGGGCAAGGAATTATTACATTCCTCACTATAAGTAAACAAAAGGAGCTACTAGTTTTGTTTTCCTTGGAGGTATTTTTTTTCATTCAGCTCCCAATCTGAATTTAACCCAACCTAAATGTTGAAAGAAAAATCTCCATCAGGGTCCAGTCCAAGCCAGGAATAAACAAAATGGAGATTGCTTTAGAAAGAGGTTTGTAGTTTATTGAAGAACAGAACCACAAGACATGAGGATCTAGAGCAGCTGACCACATGTAGCTGGGAGTGGTGGATTTTTATACCTTCTTGGGCTTTTGAGGTTGTTTCCTGTTACTGTGGCATGACCTTTGACCTGAGCTTCAGTGTGCCTTTCTAGTATGCAGATTTTAGGGGTCTTTGTTTTTCTAATCTCATCAGCTTCTAGCTTCATGGCTCTAACCTTTCTGAATAGGATGATCACATCCGCCTTTCTAAAAGGTGGTTTCCTGAGTTCCTACTGGGGACTATTAAGAAAAACTGGGCCTTCTTTTCTGCTTTTAAGATCCTTTGGGGAAATATATTCTGCCTTTTAATATTCCCTAAATATTTCTTTCTGGGGGAGGTGATCTCCTCCCAGATGCTTCTAAGTAAGAGCTATATTGTACCTCTTCAGCATCAGACCATTCCCCTTTTTTTCTAAAAAAGTTCCACTAAGAAGGAAAAGAATTAGCAGGGACTTTTGATTAATTCATACTTAAATGAATACTTTCCATGAAGTGATTGGAAAAGTACAGATACTTTCACAGCCTTGACAATAAGTAAAAATGTAAAACAGTTTGAAACAAGGAAAATACTTTCTCTTCCCCAATGCTTTCAGAGAAAGACCCAGAATGATTTTTTTTAAAGCAATTTTTATCGATTTGAACTCAGTCACTTCATTCACTATTATATTCCAACAGTCTTGAGTGTACCATTGGCTTAGTCACCACATTCAAGATATACACCCTTCTTAATATTAGCCTCTATACCTAAACGATTTAGGCAGATTTTCTACTTCTGTACAAATGGTTCAAGGATGGTTCATTTTTCACTCTCTTTCCTGATATCATCAGTATATAGTCGCATTTGTGTTATAATTGTAAATTTCTGGTTACAGTATTATATTGAGTAAAAAGAACAACATTGAACCATTGTGGATGGAAAAGAAGTAGATCATATGGTACTTGATAGCAATGTGGTACTTGGTGTCAAGAGCATGCGAAGTATTAGTGCTGCTTTATACTGCACTGCTGAGACCACATTTGGAATACTACATCCAGGTTTGGTCACCATGATGCAAAAAGATGTTGAGACCCGAGAAAAAGTGCAGAAAACAGCAACAAAGATGATTAGGGAACTGGAGGCTAAAACAAAGAACAGTTGCAGGAACTGGGTATATTTAATTTAATGGAGAGAAGCACTGGGGTGACATCCGTTTATTATTATTTATTCACTAAATTGTAATTGTAATTGGGTATTGCAGTTATAGACATCTGGGTACATTGTCCATAATAAATATCAAGAACAATAGTGAGAGGCAAAAATAACCACACGGAGGCAAAAATAACCAAACAAATGTTGCATAGGATTTATTGTAATTTTCATTTTCTATTTTAAACTTCAGAGCAGGAATGACCCCGATTCAACCTACAGTGACGAGAACCTGGTTCAGTGTATTTTGGATTTTTTTGTTGCTGGGATAGACTCGACCTTGGCTACTCTGATGTGGGCACTGCTCTTCTTGACCAATCATCCTGACATCCAAGGTGAGACAGACATGGGTGGGTGGAACGATGGTCACTCTCAGGTTTTAAAATACAGAAATTATTTGAAATACTGAATGATTGAACTGAATCTATTCTTTGTAGATTCTTGACCCTATAACCAGAAGCATGACGTTAGCAGGTTTAAAAGAAAGAGAAGAATGTATATACAGAAATTCTTCTTCGAATCCTCAATAAAATATTGAGTGAGGAACTAAAAACTGGAACTCAGTATAAATCTGAAACATTTAACACGCTTTAAATGCAGAAATTTACCAAAGTTTTTAGATACTGTATGTTACTTGTTTTCATCTTAAATTGCAATTACTGTAGGATAATGAATATAGGAAAAAAAATCACGGACATAAGATGATGTACAATGTGGGGCTCTGTACCATGAATAGAAGGGATGTTAGCGTTGTGGGGGGGAAAGTGGTTATACTGCAGCTCCAGATGAAACAGATTATCTGGACCCCTTTCAGTCAGGCTTCAGGTCTGGTTACGGGACATCAAAAGAATTAACTGTACTTATAGATGAGCTCAGTGGGGAGCAGGATGGGGTTGGTACATCCATCCTTGGTCCTCTTGACTCTTGGTGGCCTTTGATACCATCAACTAGGGTTTCCTTTGAGCCTGCTGCAAGAATAGGGGCTGGACAGTTCAATGTGGTCTCATCATGGCAATGTAAAGTAGGACTATCATGTCGGCTGCCACGTTACTCTTGCTTGTGCCTCGATACCATGCAATGACAGTCTGTCATGAATGCTGGGGAGGATGGTTGGGTGGGAGAATGCTTGGGGGAAAATGAAAGTAACTGCTGCCTCAAGGTCAGCCGGATGGGAAAAGAAGGCAGCTGCATGGTTGAGCTCTTTTCTTCAAGGCCAATTCCAATTGGTGGTGATAGGGAGTGAGAGGTCCAGCCCACGGCTATTCCTTTTTGGTGTGTCTCAGGGCTCTGTACTCTCCACTCCTTTTTAACATCTTCATGAAACATCTTCATCCAACACCATGGGATGAAGTATCATCAATTTTCCCATGATATTCAATTTTGCATCTCCTTCCTTTGTGACCCAAGTGATGTGACAGTAACTGTGAGAGGGATCTAGGTGTCCGACTGGACCATTACTTAAGTATGAGCCACGCCCACCCCATTGCCGGCAATGGCAAAATCGGCCTGATAGGTTGCGCGACGTCACGTGACATCGCGAGTTTGACACGCCTGCCCTAAATGCTATTCCAGGTCCTAAAGTTCTATTGAGGATTAAAATTTGGAAACAAATAAAGGAAACACAATATTGAAAATGAACCTTCTATTTCTATCATTTTTTCCAGAGAAAGTCAAGAAGGAGATTGAAGATGTGTTTGGCTTCTCAGGGTCAATTTCCTATCAGGATCGGAAGAAGCTGCCTTACACCAATGCTGTGATTCATGAAATGCAGCGTGTAAAATATATCTTGCTAGTTGGGGTTCCCAGGCGAAGTACAAAGGATGTGAAGATGAGGGGTTACCTTATTCCAAAGGTGAGAAACATGGTCAGGCTGCATTCCAGGAGTC